AAACTAGAGTTCACAATATCATTCAGTTTAGCATAGAACTCAACAAACCTCTCATCATCATTCATCCTAAGTTCTTTAAACCTAGAAGTTAACATTTGTAGCTTGGAGTTTTTCGCGGTCTTAGTACCCTCATAGGTAGTCTCCAAAATATCCCAAACCTCCTTAACAGTCTCACACATAGACACTCTTCTAAATTCATTAGAAGACACAGCCATAAACAAAGCATGTAATCCTTTACTATTCCAACTACACTCATCCAAGTTAGTTTTAGTCCGTAGAGAGATATTAATGAGTGTAACTACACCATCAGCAGTTGTTGAAGGTGGAGTCCACTTTGAACAGAAATCCATACACGTTCATCTAAAGCGTTAAGGAAAGCTCTCGTACGTACTTTCCAATAAGCATAATTAGTGTCATCAAAATATGGCAGTACAGACAATGAACTACTCATCCAGACAATCAAATAAGGGTCAGGAATTGAAATTAGGCTCTGATACGAATTGAAAAATGCAAGATTCGACCCTACTACACCTAGAAGGGGGGTGATTAGGTTAAATGCATAATTAAAACTTTAATTAACAAGCAACAAGTGACAAGTTAATTATGTCTAGGTGATTAGTCAAACAATCCAATTTAGCCTATCTTTGAATATCGCAGTTATATTAAAATAATAAACAAAGCAATAAACAACACCATAATTGTTCATGGAGAAACCTAACGTCGGAAAAACTCCGGACACTTTGCCAGTCAAAGATNGTCAAAGATCCACTATAAACTGATAATACATTTACAAACCACCGCAAAGTTGACAATACAAGCTTTCTGATCTCCTGTCTGAAGTAAGAAGCAGCCCTCCTGGAATGTGCACATGAACACCAAACTCGGCTCTTCTTTGTAAAGCAGTCCTCCTAGAATGAGCACACGAACTCCAATCCTAACTCTTTACACAATTTATCTCCTGTAGATCTTCCCAAAGAACTCCTCATTCTTCAGATTCTTCCTTGATCTTTAATAAAGCACAGTTGACGACACAATCTTGCAGCAGACCCAAGTGAAGAATGCAATCCAGTGTTTGATTTGGCTCTTTGATGTTTTCACAATGATTGGCACATGAACAATGGAAGGATTGAACTTTGAATATGATGAAGCATGAATTCTCTCAAGAATGTAATGTGTTCAACCTCTTGTTCGTAGGAAGTGCGGTGTCTCAATATATAGGTTGGACGAAATAAGTTGTATGGGCTAAGTAAAAATATCAAAAATAGAAAATTAGGTCTGGCCGAATAATACGTCACTCGAGCGAGAAGGCGGCTTCGCTAGAGCAAAAGGTCTGTCGCTCGAGCGACAATGGGGCGAAGGTCGAGCGAGGTAGTCTCTGTTTCAGTCGCTCAAGCATTACTCCGGCGAGCAGCTAGAGAAAAACCGGCGTGAATCCTTCTTATTCCAAACATGAAACCCCAAACCCTAAGCTAACTTACCAACTATGAAACTTTACAACTCAGTCCTTAAACTTTTATAAATGTTGAAGTTGGTCAATTTGTTCACAGAATCGCCAATACAAAATATAAACCTAACAAGTTTAATTTTACATTTTCGCCTAGTTTTACATATATTGCATGTCAACTATAACTTAGAAATGTTGGAATGACTACGCATGAAAGTTATTTATTACTGGATTGAATTTCAGATTTTGTCCTTTTATTTGAAAGTGATAAAACTTGGACTACAGTATATGTTTTAGAGTGAAATCAGTGGGGTTTCAAAGGTCTATGAGCTCTTCTAATAGTGGTCTTTGGAATTGTCCTAAAATATTATCTAGAGAAAAAGTTATGTCCATTTTGGTAGACTGCGTGAAGTCAGTTTCGAATTTTCTGTCCAGCATAGTTGAAAAATATTTTCAGGTTTCAAACATTATCATCGAGACCCTAATTTTTTATATGATATACGTATATCAATGTTATAGTCCCTGTTAAAATTTCATAATTTTTCGTCAACGTTTGCTAAGTTAAACATATTTTCTCTCTGTTGCTGTGCAACTTGTATTTCCTGAAATTACAAACAATGAGCATTTTTTTTTTACACTTCGAGTTTTGGGAATGTGAATTTTGGCTGGACCGAGTGGAGTTTCTAGATCATATGGTTTCAGCACGAAGAATTGAAGTAGACCATTCCAAAGTTGAAGTTGTGAAAAATTGGCCGAAACCTAAAAATGTTGGAGAAGTGAAGAGTTATCTAGATTTAGCCAGCTATTATCGGCGATTTATAGAAGGATTTTCCAAGATCACGAGTCCTACGACACAGTTGAGTCGAAGAGGTATTAAGTTTGTATGGTCACAGAAATGCGAGCGAAGTTTTCAAGAGTGAAATGACATGCTAGTATTTGCACCAGTGATGACTATTCCTGATAGTTCGTAAGGCTTTGTAATTTATAGTGATGCATCTAAACTTGGTTTANAAGCAATATGAACATAATTACCCTACCTATGTTCTCGAACTAGCCATGGTAGTGCACGCTTTGAAGATTTGGCGCCACTACCTATACGGGAACAATTGAGAAATCTACACCGATCACAAGAGTCTCAAATAATTATTTACCCAGAAGGACCTGAATATTAGACAACGATGGTGGTTAGAATTAGTGAAGGATTATGACTGCACTATCTTGTACCACCCGGGTAAGGCTAATGTAGTTGCTGATGTGTTGAGTAGAAAAAAATATGGGACAATTTTAGCACTGTATACAAGGCAGGATCATTTAGTTAGAGATTTTGAAAACTTGAGAATTGAAGTATATACTTCACTAGTAAGGATATCATCAATGTTAACAAGTCTTACTGTGAAATCAACACTCAGGGATATAATAGTATCTGCTCAGAAAGATGACCTATTTTTAGAAAAGACCAGGGTTGAGGTGGGAACTGAGAAGAGGAAAGGATTGAAATAGCTGAAGATAAAACCCTAAAGTTTAAAGGCCGACTGTGCGTACCAAAGGATGAGGTATTGATGAATGTGATTATGACTGATGCTCATTCTGTTCCTTACACTGCACACCCAGAAGGATCTAAAATGTATAAAGATTTGCGTGACTGATTTTGGTGGAAATAGCTCTATTTGTGTCCAAATGCATGATTTGTCAATAGGTAAAGGCTGAACATCAGAGGCCATCGGGGTCATTGAACCCCATGGGCATACCCAAATGGAAATGAGAGAAGATTGCAATGTATTTTGTCATTGGTTTTCCTAGATTGGTGAGAGGTCATGATGCAATCTGGGTAATTGTAGATAGACTGACAAAATCTGCTCATTTCTTGCCAGTTCGGACTACCTATAGGTTAGAACAACTCGCACAGATTTATGTTAGAG